ACGGGTCTGCAAAGGCGACGCTCGCGCTCCGCCGCTGCCTAGCTCGGGCCACGGACTCGAACATTGGTGTCAGCATCGAGGAAGGGACCATGGCAGATTGAGGGATCGGAGGATTGATGTAGCGTTCATCGGTCGCCATGGTGCTACTCGCGCCGATGGGCGCAGGGGAGGACGACATTGGAGGCCCCATCGATCCATGGCTAGCGGGGAATGAGGTGCCGTCAAACACCTCGCTCGCATTGCTCGACCGATTGCTGCCTACCCGAAGACGAAGAGCCAGCTTTGCGCGCTTGCGCGGCTCGTTTGGCGTCGAGAGACTTGCGGCGTCTGACGATGCGAGTGCATTGTCACCGGATGTAAGCTGAGACGGAGGCGGTGAGCTTAGTGGGCTGTCCGCCTGAACTCCCGCCGCGCCTTGAGCAGCCGGCTGTGTGTTCGTCCTGGTGCGGCTGCGCGTGCCATAGTGCTCTTCAGCCTTTGGTTGTGAGGCGGGTGCCACCTCATTAGATTTTGCAAAAGGAGCCCAGGAATACGCATCGGAGCGAGACTTCGATACCGCTCCAGCCCGAAATTTCGAGCCCGAACTCGCCGCATCTGTACTTCTGATCAATCGAGCCAGCGCTTCTTGCGTGAGTCGCGAGTGTTCAAGTTTGAGCTCGACAAGCTCTAGCGGTCTGAGTGATGTGGATGTAGATTGTGGGAACACCTGTAGATGCGAGCACACGTCAGCTTCTGCGCCAAGGTGCAGCTGCGAGATGATCCTTGATGGCTCACCGGTGTTCGCTTCCACGTGTGGCCATCCGGGAACGCGGGCAGCCAAGCAGGTATCTCTTCGCACTGGACGTCATCCGCAAGCCTGGCTGGTACCCCAAAGACATGCTCAGGATTATCATCGGCGGACGTCGGCACTATCTTGTCACGTTGACAAGTAGCGCGTGCCGGCACTTGATGGGCGAAGCGCCTCCTCTTGCCAGACCTTGAGCGAGCATCGGCCTCCTCGTCCGACGCGCCATCTTCGCTGCTGCTGACGTTCAGGGCTTCCAATTCTGACTCGCGCCGCTCGCTAGACCCCAAAAAGCCGCTTCCAAGCATCGCCCATGCTGGAGTGGTGCCAGCCTGCTGAGTTCTCTGCTCGCGCTCGGCTTCCCGCGCAGCGGCGCAGGGAGCAAAGTGCTGAAGGTTCCGCTCATGCCTGGTGGTCTCGCCTCGTTGCTCATTGGCAGCGGGAGTCATCTCGCCGACCTTCGGCGACAGGGTCGGACCATGCGCAAAGTCTCTGAGAGCTTGCATGCTGAAAGCGTCACCGAGACTGTCGAAGGTGGAAACAACATCGTGAATCTGCGCACGCCTGGTCCGCGCTTGAAGTACTGAATACGCGCAAATCGTGGTGAAGACTGTGCGAGAGATGTGACGAGGTAAGCGGCAGCCCCGAGAGCATCACAGAGCAGCGACAAGTTACTTACAGGCGTCAAAGTCCCTGCTCAGCCTGTCTAGGGCGGATGCGTCCACTTGCTCAAAGCCTGCTGACCTCAGCGCTGCGCCCATAACGGTATGCAAATCCTCCCACTGCACGTCATCTCGTTCGATATGAAGATCGGTCGAGTCCTGAGTCATAGATTTCTGATCGTCACGCAATGGTGATGAATGTGTCCGCAAGGGAAGAGGAAGAGCGACAGCAATGCTTGCTGGTGGCTCCCACCTCTTCGTCGAAGTCGTGGAAGGCGCGACGATGGGTGCGATTGAGGGGCTTGGCATTGTGTCCAAGTCACGCCTCGGGGTCCAGGGTTTCGGTAGTCTTACTGACAAGAAGGAGCAGGCGACCAGTCTGACCTCGGCCAGGAAAGATGTCAGACTGAGGCCAAGTTGGGACCGGCGATGGTGGATGGCGTCTCGCTATGCTCGATTCCTGATTCATAATCACACATCGTGGCGACGGCATCGCCGCTAAGGGTGAGCCCTTCATCCGCGCGC